ATTCTATTCTATTCCATTCCTATTCATTATTCTTTTCTCTTCTGTTCTCTTCTCTTCCTAGTCTAGTCTATTCCATTCCATTCCTTATTCTATTCTATTCCATATTCTATTCCTATTCCTAATTCTATTCTATTCCTATTCCATTCCTATTTCTTTATTCTGTTCTATTCCATTCCTATTCGTTTTTCTATTCTATTCCTATTCCTTATTCTATTCTATTCCTTATTCTATTCTATTCTATTCCATATTCTATTCTATCCTATTCCTATTCCATTCCATTCCTATTTCTTATTCTATTCTATTCTATTCTATTCTATTCTATTCTATTCTATTCCTAGTCTATTCTATTCCATTCCTATTCCTTTTTCTATTCTATTCCATTCCATTCCAATTCTATTCCTATTCCATTCCAATTCTATTTCTATTCTATTCTCTGTTCTATTCTGTTCGACTGTTCTATTCTATTCCATTCCATTCCATTCCTCTGCACTGTGCTTCATGGTACAAGCCCAAAATTTTCCTCCTCTTTAGACACAGCTTACACTTTAGCAGCATATATCAAGATGTTACTAACTTCTCAACTGCAGTGATTCACTTATCAACCACGGCAACAAAGGGTGTAAATTGGGGCAAAGCTCACTTAACCAATGTCTCCCTTCACGACAGGAATTTTGGGCTCCATTGTGGTCGTAAGCTGAGGACTACCTCTATTTACACAATGCTCACTTCAGGTAAAACCTGCTAATGATCTCCCAATAAATATGAGTATGGGACCCGATCTACGCATATGGACACATGGCTCTATACATGCCTCAGTCAGAAGCCATATTCCCCACTCCATATTCAACAAGGTCCAAGATAAAAAGATTAATGTCAAGTCAATTAACAGATGAAAATGGCCAGCCAAACAGCAAGCTAACTTGATATATCCATATATCCAGACAAACTCTGCATACATCCACAATTCACACTCTCACACATCAGCACTCTTCTCCCTCCCTCCAGCAGCGAGAAAAAGGAGAAATATGAAGTAATGGTTCCTCTAGAAAAAGAAAGTGTTAGGATTCCGGCGATTGCCCTAATTGAATTATGAGCCTCGAACCAAGCTTCAAAAGAAATCAAAAGATTTATTAGGAGTAACATGTCCGGCATTAACCTGTATGAAGCCAACTCTGGCCTACGTAATTTACGGCCACCTGTGTCCCTGTTTCCCCCCTCCCCCCGGGTGTGTCATAAATCAGATTCTCCAATTAAGCACATTCACAGGCTGGGTGTCATCAAACACGTTCTCCGATTAAGGATTTTCATGGGCAGAAGACCTGGTAGCTTAGCTACAATCTTTGTAAGAGAAGTGTTGGAATTTACTTCTGGTTTTAAACTGCTGCTCCTTCAGGTTTCCTCTCTCCCCCTCTGTTTATGGCAACTCTATAACAGGAATAGGAATGCCTTTACAAGTTGACAGAAAGATAAGCAGGGATAAAACTGGAAATGGAGTGAGGGAAAGTAATACAGGTCGTCCTTGCTTATTGATCAGTCATTCAGCAACTGTTTGATTTTCCAATGGCACTGAGCAACTGGTACCCTTGTTTCCATGAAAATAGGACTTATATTGTTTTGCCACCCAAAAAGGCACCAGGTCTTATTTTCTGGGGGGGGGGGGGAGGATGCCACTGACTTACCTCCGTCGCGCACGTCGCCCCCAGCCTTCTTTTCGCTGTCAGAGGCCTTCAGGAACTTCTTCTACGGCCAGCAAGACTTTCCTGAAGGCCTCTGCAGCCGATAACAGAGCTCTGTTATCGGCTGCAGAGGTTTTCAGGAAAGCCTTGCTGGCTGAAGAAGAAATAGGCCGGCAAGACAGGTGTCGGGGTGTGCGAGGCCTGGGTGCAACTTTCCAAAGGTAAGTAGTAGGGCGGCTCCACACCCCCCCATCCCCACTGTAGCTTAACTTTTAGCCATGCATACTGGAATGGGCAGGGTGTTAATTAAGGCTTATATTGGGCCCATGTATAAAAGTCAAGTAAGGACTTACTTTCGGGGGAGGTCATATTCTCAGGGAAACATGGTTACATATAACCCAGGGGAGTCAAACTCGATTTCATTAAGGGACGCATCGGGGTTGTTTGACCTTGGAGGTGGGTGGGCGTGGCCAGCTCAATGTCACTCGTGTCGGAGGCACCTGTGCTGGCCTGAGTGCTGTGCCAGCGAAAACAGGCTCCCAAGCTCCCATTTTTTTTGCTCTAACAGCCTCCTGCAATCCTCTACCAGCAAAAACGGAGCTCGGGAGGGCCATGTGAGGTACTGCAGGCCAGTCCTTCGCTGTTTCCAAGTGATCCCGTAGGCCAGATCTAAGCATCTCATAGGCCGGATCTGGCTCCCGGGCCTTGAGTTTGACACCCGTTATAACCAATCATCAGAGCTACTGTGTCACACTGATGCGGTTGCCACTGTCATGCCCCTATTGGAATCTGATTCGGAGGGGGAGGTTGAGCAGCTGTCAGGGAGTGGGAGTGTGGCTCCAGTGGCTGCGGAAGAAACTGGGGAAGGGCCCAGTCCGGCTGGGCATTCAGAGGAAGACCCAGGCCCACCACCTCTTCATTCTAGGGCACGCAGGGAGGAAAGGATAAGGGATCAACATGGGTTACAGAGGAGAAAAAGGCCCTGATTCCTTTCATTAGCTGCAGCTGGGAAAACAGGATTTTAAAAGGGTGTTTGCACATAGCAACTTTCTGGAAGAAAAGCGTGCATTATCGTTGTTTTTCAAGGCTTATCTGGGTTCTGGCATCTTCCCAACTGTGTGTGTTTCGTTATCTTTGGAAGTCTGTAATTCCTTATCCTGCCGTCCTGGGAGCAAAAACAGGCCACGGGGGGGAGGGGGAGGACACACACCATATTCTCCCCACGCTCATTTTGGGCCTAGTGGGCCTCCCTGCACTTACCTGGGAGCTAAAACGGGGCGCGTGGGGATTCTTGGATGGGGAGGGGATGGGCCAGCCAGCAATTTAACAACTGTGGAACCGTGGAAACCGGTTGAATCCCACCACTGCCTATATCCCTTCATGTTCAACAGAAGCTTCTCAGGAGATTAATGTAAGGCAAAATGCTAAACAACGAAGATTTTATCCAATCAGTGGTGTCTGACTCTTGACGATTCTATGGACTTTTCTTCTTTGAAGTTGTTCTGTGCCAGAGATCGGTGGCCTGCAGGCTGGATGCATCACATGCAGGCCACGCCCACCCCAGCTCCGCGAAAGGGGAAAAAAAATCACGTGACAGCAACGTGACGCGGCGAGTTTGACGCCCGTGTTCTAAGCTCTGGCTGGTGTCAGCTTTGATGGTGTCCTTTGGCGCCTGGCTTCCTGTTAGCCCTAACTCTTTTCAAACATAATTCATTTCAGATTATTTGGGGGAAAACTCACTTTCCCATTTGGTAGTTCGGGCACATGGTTAAAAAAAACCTGGTGTCGCTGAAGGATCCCATGGCATACACAATAGTTGGCTTTTTTGTGCTTGAATAAATGCTACCTAGTCAGGAAAGAATCAAAGTACACCTGAATAAATGCTTGGCATCTCGATGTGTCTCTATTAATACTCGCACCTTTTCAAGGATTTTTCTGTAAGCACCTTAACTATCCATTCTACTACTGATTTCTCCTTCGTCCTTCCTTCAACTCTGCAGGTACAATTCTTTCTTCAAGTCTGTCATGCATTCGTGTCCAACTTGTCATGGTGTTCCATCAACTCAGAACTGGAGTCCACGAAGCTCTTTCAACCGTCAACACGTTTATTGGGTTGTCCCCTGTGTGAATCTTCTTATGAGAAGTCAGTTGACAGTTCCAAGTGAAGCTTTTTCCACATTCCATGCATTTGTAGGGTTTCTCTCCCGAGTGGATCCTTTTGTGAGAAATAAGATTACTTCGCTGATTAAAGCTCTTCCCGCACTCCTTGCACTTATAGGGTTTCTCCCCCGAGTGTATGCTTTTATGGGAGATGAGATTGCTTCGCTGACTGAAGTCTTTCCCACATTCCATGCACTTATATGGTTTCTCCCCTGAATGGATCCTTTTATGCAAAGTAAGATCACTGTTGGTACTGCAGGTCTTTCCACACTCCGTGCATTTGTAGGGTTTCTCCCCCGTGTGGATCCTTTTATGGGAAGTAAGATGACTGCTTATGGTGAAGCTCTTTCCACACTCTACACATTTGTAAGGTTTCTCTCCAGTGTGAATCCTTTTATGGAAAGTGAGGTGACCACTCTGGCTGAAGCCTTTCCCGCACTCTGCGCATTTGTACGGTTTCTCTCCAGAATGGATCCTTTTGTGAGACGTGAGCTGACCATTCTGACTGAAGTTCTTGCCACACTCCGCACACTTGTACGGCTTTTCTCCCGTGTGGATCCTTTTGTGAGACGTGAGCTGCCCGCTCTGGCTGAAGCTCTTTCCACAGTCCACGCATTGGTACGGCTTCTCGCCTGAATGGATCCTTTTATGGGAAGTCAGGGAGCTATTTTCACTGAAGCTCTTTCCGCACTCCGGGCATTTGTATGGTTTCTCCCCCGAGTGGGTCCTTTGATGGGAAATAAAATGGTTGCTGTTACTGAAGCTGTTGCCACATTCCATGCGTTTATATGGTTTTCCTTCTGCGTGGATGCTTTGAGGGAAAGCAAGAGGGATGTCCCACTTGAAACGTTTCCCATCTTCCACGCGTCCGTCTTGCACCTCTCTCATATAAATACTGGGGCGTTCGCATGCATCAGATTCCTCTCTAATTGTCTCTCCAAATGGGAAACCTTTTTCTCCGTGATCTCCTTGGATCAGGAAAAGATGGACGTCCAGATTTTGAGAGGTAGAGGAGTTTTGGAGCTCACCATTTAACTGGTTTGCCTCTGGCCACTGTGGCCTTTGCTGATTTTGAAATTTCTCTTCTCCAATTTCACTTCTGGCTGTTTGGAAAGCTGCCTCTTCGTAATTCTCGTTCTCCCATCCATCACCTGTTGAATCAAGAAAGAAAAAAAAAATCTATGAGAAATTTAAAGCCCAACTTGAGACTGCTGTTAGGAACCAAGCCCCATTAGCTGCTTCTTATCTAGTATTTCTCTATTAACCTATTTTTTTTATTTTTATTTTGTCTTACAGGAACTAGACATGGCTAGTCTCGTAAAGAGAAGGACCAGGGGAGACAGGATAGCAGTCTTCCATTATTTGAGGGGCTGTCACAGGGGGGAAGAGGTCAAGCTATTTTCTAAAGCCCCTGTGGGCCAGACAAGGAATAATGGATGGAAACTGAACAAGGAGAAATTTAACCTGGAAATGAGGGGAAACTTTCTGACAGTGAGAACAATCAACCAATGGAACAGCTTGTCCTCGGAAGTTGTGGGAGCGTCATCCCTGGAGGCTTTCAAGAAGATATTCGACTGCCATTTGTCAGAAATGGTGTAGGGTCTCCCGCTTGTGTGGGGGGTTGGACTAGATGACCTACAAGATCCCTTCCAACTCTGATTATCTGTTATCTGTCTTTTTATGAACCCATAAAGACATGCATGCGCAGAGATGCACACTGCGGGGGATTGAGAGTGAGAACAATCAACCAATGAGACATGAAGACATCGCGCATGCGTGCACGATCCCCCGCGCTGAGACATGAAGCGTGGGGGATCGCGCACGCATGCGAAATGCATGGCTTGCAGCCGGGAAACACGTGCACATGCATAGAGGTGCAGTGCACACGGTGATCGCATACGCAGATGCATGGCGTGCAGTGGGGGAATTGCATGCGCAGGGGGCATGGGGGGGAAGCACGCATTGCCTTCTGGGTGCTGGCACGTGAGCCCAAGCGCATGCGCAATTATCGGCACGTGAGTCGAAAAAGGTTAGCCACCTCTAGACTAGAAAATCTCCAAGATCCCTTCCAACTCTGTTATCCTCCTAGTTACTTTGTAGTAGAAATTATCCTCTTAACATAAAATAAAGAAAAAAAAAACTTACCCAAGGTGGCTAAATTCCTAGCATTTTCCAGCATGACCTCCCTATATAGATTTTTTTGGTTGAAATCCAACAGAGCCCATTCTTCCCCAGAGAAAAATACAGCTACATCGTCAAAAATCAGAGGAACCTGTAATAGGAAGAGAACAATCCCCTATCAGTGAAGAGTTAGTGGAAATTATATACATATACATATACATACACATATACATACATACATACATACATATGTTTTCATATATATATATATGTTTTCATAGATATAGATGTATATAATCTTTTAATGAACAAGTCCCAATACCAGAGTTTCTCCTTGTGCTAGATGAGAGGTCTCCAAACTTGGCAACTTTAAGACTTGTGGACTTCAACTCCCAGAATTCCTCAGCCAGCTATGTTGAGAATTTTGGGAGCTGAAGTCTACAAGTCTTAAAGTTTGGAGACAACTGTGCTAGATAAATAATCTCATCCTACAGATAAATTTTGCGATACTAAACAGGAGAACACAACCTACCGATTGGTAAATGTTTTATTGATTCTACTGACTCTGCACAAAACATTAGATATTACATCAAATACCCGAGTTTCCCCGAAAATAAGAGCGGGTCATATGGGCCCGAAAATAAGCACTAGGCTTTTCGGGGGTGGGGGGGTGTCTTATTGTTTTCCATGTATGGGGGGCCCATTTCTTCTGCTCGTTCGTGGTGGGTAGGAGGCCGCGCGGTGCACCAGTGCCACCGCCACGAGGAATGGGGTGGTGGAGTTGCCTCATGCACCCAGCACCTGTTTACCTCAGGGCCCCTGCAGCCAGGCCATCCACACCCTAATACCTGAGGCCACGAGTAAGCAGAGGAAGTGAGTCGGTGGCCACATTGATTCCTGCTGTACATGGGTGTTGGTGCTGCTGCCGTGAGGCAGCTGTCGGGGCATGGATGGCCTGGCTGTGGGGTCTCTGAGGTAAGCCAGTGCAGAGCACATGGGGCAGCTCCACCACCTCTTGCCTTGCGTTGGCGGCACCACAAGCAATCAGATAGAATCGTCGGATGGTCGGCTGTGCTGGTGCTTAAGTAGGGCTTATTTTGGAGGGTGGGGGTGCAGGGCTTATATTAGATGCACAAGTAAAATATGTTAGGTCTTATTTTGGGGTTAGGTCTTATTTTCAGGGAAACGGGATATCAGAGGGTTGTGATTCCAATATTCCTCTGGACCAACTGATACCACAACCGTGGATGCTTCATTAAATAGGAACTTCAGAGCCAACCTGTAAAGAAGCTCGCTGAATCCTCTGTGAAATGTTAACTCATGGCTTATGATGTCCTTCAGGTAACAACGCAGTCCTTATTCATCAGATCAGTGAAGAATGATCCATTCCCCGATGAATGAATTCACCGGGGAATGAATTCCAGGAACAATTATGAAATGACATCAATTAAGAACTCATGATGCAGCCAGGGGTGGGATTCAAATTTTTTAACAACCGGTTCTGTGGGCATGGCTAGGTGGGCATGGCCACATGACTGAGTGGGCATGGCTTCTTTTTTTTCGCAGCAGCACCCCCCCCGCACTCAGCTGTTGGGCCTCCTCGGTCTCAGGGAAGCATCCTGAGGGGAATTTTTGCTCCCAGAAGGCTTCCCTGAGGCCCAGAAAAACAAAAAAACAGAGGGGGTGGGGGCGCAGCATCCCCTGCACTCCATTTTTGGGCCTCCTAGGCCTCAGGAAAGCCTCCGGGGGGCGTTTTTGCTCCCAGGAAGCTCCTCTGAGGCCCAGAAAGGAAAAATACGCAGCACCCCCCTTCCCTACACGCCCCTTTTTGCCTCCTGAGCCTCAGGGAAGCCTCCTGGGTGAAGCAGTAAGACAGTGAGGGGGATGCCAACACAGCTGATCTTCCGAACAGCTGATTTTTGGGAGGAAAAAAAAAAGAAATATCTTAAGGAGTGACAGGATGGGGGAGAATGCATCGCTGGGCGGACAGCGATGTTGGGCATGCACAATAAGGACTGACTGGGCAGGGAGGAGAAAGGCGGGTGAAAAGGGGTGGGGCCAGCCAGGGGCATGATCTGCCAGTACTCTGAACTGCGCAAAATCGTAACAACCGGTTCTATAGAACCGGTCCGAACCAGCAGAATCCCACTCCTGAATGCAGCCTTTTGTGGACTCTTATTTACGTATAGAAAGTTTGCTCATGCTCCAAATATTGATTACAGGGAAGTTAATAAAGTGAGAGAAATTGACTGTGCTATCTTGGTTGAAAATGGATGCCCCTCGAGTCATTCTAATTGGTTGCAAGAGGGAAAAGTCCTCCTACCTGAGCTGGGAGAATAACTACCGTTTCTGCTTCACTATAAAGAGGAGATATTTCCACAGGTGCCATCTGTAACATTCCATTCTCTGAGAGTGAGATAAAAGAGGAGAAAATACAGGTTTTAGAAACATCAAAAGAATCATACACCAAAGTATTCTTGCACTCAGGCCTAAGGTCTTTTCCAAAACAAGGTCATAAAATAACAGTAGCTAAGAAACCGGGAGTTCTTGACTTGCGACCACAATGGAGCCCAACATTTCTGTTGCTAAGCAAGACAGGAGTTACAAACATTTTGCCTCATGTTATGACCTTTCTTGTCACAATTGTTAAGTAAATTACGTGTCTCAGAGTTGGCTTGTGGTCAGGGTTCCGACGATTGCCCTAATTAAATCACGAGCCTCAAGCCAAGGTTCAAAAGAATTCAAAAGATTTACAAGGAGCAACATGTCCAGCACTAACCCGTATGAAGCCAACTCTGAGATCCCTAATTTACTATCACCTATGATCTTGTTTCCCTCCACCCTCCTGGGTGTCATATATCAGATTCTCCAACGAAACATGTTCAAAGGCTGGGTGTCATCAATCACGCTCTCCAATGAAAAATTTTTGTGGGCAAAAAATCCAGTAGCCTAGGCTACAATCTCCACAAGATAAGCATGGAATGTGCTTCTGGCTTTCATCTACTGCACTGCTCCGTCAATGTGAAAAACAAATGTGAAAAACAGTCCTAAGACCCCTTTTTTCAGTGTCACTATAACTTTGAATGGTCACTAAGTGATGTCAACCTTGGAAGCCATCTTTTACTTGGAAGCTTCGAGGCTGCCACATTTAGTGCCTGGGAATTTGGGAGGGGGGATTTCATAGAGAGATGGAAGATTAGACTCAACAACATTCTTTCTCAGAGAGTCAATGTCATGCCCCTGTTGGAATCTGACTCAGAGGGGGAAGCCGAACAGCTGACAGGGAGTAGGAGTGTGGCTCCGCTGACTGTGGAAGAAACTGGGGGCGGGCAAAGTCCGACTGACCAGAGCAGGGGAGAGGTAGAGCAAGGCAGAGGGAGTTCAGAGGAAGACCCAGGCCCACCCCCTCTTCATCCTAGGACACGCAGGGAGGAACAGAGAAGGGAGCAACGTGAGTTGTGTGGCTTACAGGGAGGAAAGGGCCCTGATTCCCTTCATTAGCTGCAGCTGGGAACAGAGTGTATAAAAGAGGAAGCTGCACACAGCAAGTTGTTGGGAGCAAATGTGAATTTATCTTGTAGCTTTGTAGCTTATCTGTGTTCATGGAGTCTTCCCAACTGTGAGTTTTGCCATGCTTTCATGTCTGAAATGCCTTCTCTTGCCCTGTCAAGTTAATTACTTCAGCTTGGTTTGTTTGGATTTTTGATTACAGTTTGTCTGTACCTTGTTTTGGACTGAATTTTCTGCAGTC